TTTCTACGTTTTATTTTGTATCTTCTTCTTCTTCTTCTTCTTCCAAACAAAAAAAAATGTAATCATTGCATTTTTACCTCATTTTTCGGGAGAGTGAGTTCAGTTTGCATTTCAGCTGAAAGCAATTAGTGAATAGAAAACGAACAGTTCCTCTTCCTAGCATAGCAATACTTGCCTGTCTGCTTCAATAATCTACTAGTGCACCTAAACCCCACTACAGCAGCTTTTAAATTTATTTTAAAAACTAACCATCAAATGTTTAAAAATTTCAAGTGACACAATTATTAAATTAGCTTGGTTGTTAAACTATTCAAGAATACTTTCAAATGAACCTCCACATCTTCGTTGTTTGCTTGTTTTGTTTTTAATCCCAACATTTCAGTTGATGTATCTTCGGTCTTCATCTCGTATATTCAGTGAGATGACTAGAGACAGGCACAAGGACAAGAAGAGCGATACAGAGACACAGATGAGTAGAAACAAACAGAGAAAAAGAGATGCAAGGAGAAAGAAACAGGCAGAAAAAGATAGCAAGGAAAAGGAAAATAAAGAAAGACAGAGATAGACAAACAGAAACAGAGTGAGGGAGCAGAAGAGGGAGATAGAAGAAGAGAAACATACAAAAGAAATTGAAGGATAAAGATAAACATATCGATAATGAAACGAGAAAGCGATTAACACACACACATAAATAATAAATTATAGTTTTAAGGTATGCTATATTTATGGGTTAGAGTGCTCAATCAGGGATAGAGCTTATGTAAATATAAAATTAAACTTTGAAGTCAACAACCAAGAGCGATAGTCTGTTTCATGTTAAACGCAATAGGAATACCATAAGCGTTGTGCTTTTGCTCGACGTTTTATATATACTGGTCAGTAATGCATTGTGGGTAATTTTATTGCCTTGTGGGTGGCCTATCGTATAATTTTGACGGTTATTTTGGTGGGCGTGGTTTATTAATTTGTTTATTATTTGCTTAGTTTATTTATTTATTTAGATTAATTGATTTTAGTTTTTTTTATGTTTATTTATTTTCATTTATTTTCTTCAGATTTCTATTTTAAATAACGTAGTAAAAATTTGTTTTTGCGTCTGCATTTTGAGATGAGCTATGATCGTTTATTTAGGAGTTTGTTTTGGTCTGGGTAAGCTTTTTTCCTGTAAGAAGAGTTTACAGTTTTTGGATTGATGTTCTTTTCCTTATTTTTCATGATATTCTTGGTGTAATTTTTTTCAAATCCCGGATATGCTTAGAAAGAATCGTGCTATTTGTGTATTTGCTATTTGTAAAGGGTGTTTTGTGTGCGTAGTTTCTTTGTTTTCAGTCTCCTTCAGTTACTCCTATGTATATTTTCTCTTCGTTATCTGCTGATTTTACAGGGGCTTGGTATATGACATTGTTTTACAAGCAATAGCAGTTCAAGGGACATTCGTTCTTTATTCTGCAGTTGCATGTAGGTTTAATTTGTTCGGGTGGTTTGTTGATTGTTTTCCTGTGGTGCATTTTTTATTATTATGTTCTTGGTGCAGCTGTAGCTGATTTTTACTGATATTTAACAAAAACACATTTTATCGGGTACTTTAGTGTGATATATAAAAACAATTAATCAGTGAACAAATAAATAAAGCAATTTCCACGCCGAGAGAAGACACCTTAAAGTATAAAATTAAAAACAAATCCAAACGCATCCCCCTCCTTTCAATACTACTCTACCTCCACTATCTCAAATAATCAAAAGTCGCTGGGAAATACAACATCTCAAACCAAACCGTAAAACTTTGTTTGAGAAAGCCGGCCTTTTAGCATATCGTAGACCAAAGAACTCAATTTTCAATGAAACAGACTTCCTTGTCAGTGTTGAAAACTGAATATTATATATGTGCCGCGCCAGGAAATTTTTCTCGCCTGAGTCGATCCTTCGAATCTACAAATCAACCATTCGCCCCTGCATGGAGTATTGCTGCCATATATAGTCTGGAGCCCCTCCTTTTTGTCTCAAGGTTCTTGATAAAATCCAGAGGCGGTTATGCAATGTACTTGGCCCTAATCTGGCATCTCGTCTACAGTCGCTCTATCACAGACGTGCCGTCACCTCCCTCTGTCTTTTTTTTTTACAAATACTTTCACGGTAACTGCTCCGATGAGCTGCTTTCGCTGGTTTCCAGACTTCCTGAATTTAAGCGTTCAACTTAAAAACTTTTAAATGTAGCCGTCTCTTCAACTCCAACAGCTTCATGTCTCGCACTTCTCGCCTGTGGAATACCCTCCCCTTTTCCTGTTTCCCTGATAGCTATAATCCCCATCTCTTCAAATGTAATGTCAATCGACGTCTCCAAATGCCTTGATCTATCCCCTATCCTTCTCTTCATCCTTTCCTCTATCATTCCTATTTGCTCTCGCTCCAACTCTCTGTAACCCCTTGTGTGAAACGCTTTAAAAAATGTGCTAAACAGTTCTTAGCCCAACCTACTTCCCAAAATCAGTATTTGAATTGCCAAGTAGCAGAATTTGGATGGGGAGGGGTTAAAGAAAGCTGAGAAATGATGTATACAGCATGTTCAACTGGTGCGTGAAGAAGTGGAATAGGCTGTACGTTGCAGGGCTTAAAAGGTGGTTATTTGGGGTTTGGCTGAGTATCTTTCATTGAAGGGAAAATTTCAGATCCAAATTCAACTGCATATGAGCATCTATATTTAAGCAGATTTTGTTAATCCAACGTGAAATACCGATTGATATTAATTTTACTGTTTAAGTGTTTATAGTAAGAAATATACCGGGTGTAACAGCAAAATTGTCCAAGCATGGGATAATTGTCCATCCCACAAAACCAATAAACTAATTGAGTTTCTTTTTTTTCCAGGTTTTCAGATAAGACGTTTAGCCATCTTGACACCATTTGTCGTAAGAATCACTGAAAATCCCTTTGAGTTTTTCATCTAGAAAGCGAACAGATTAAAATCATTTTATGTCAGCCTCACTATGTCTTTCCAACTGAGCAATGGTGAGAGGAAGAACATCATTCAGGCCTTCAGTAATGGTACCAACATTCATATTCTGGCTTCCATTTTCAAAGTCCATTCAAGAACGATCAAGAGAATGGTGAATAATTTTTAAAAAGAGTGAACAGTCGAGAGGAAATCTGGATCAGAATATCACAACAGCAAGCGGGATCATCATTTCAACTTAGAGATAAATACATACTTATTGGTCAAAGTAGTGTTCAATAGTGTTATAAAAACCTCGGAGAATTCCAGTAAGATAGCTTTAATCATTTCTAAGATACAACGGTTCAAAGGTTAATCTGACGATTGCAAAATTTTGCTGTTACACCCGTTATATACACACACAGACGCGCGAGCGCACGTATATATATATATATATATATATATATATATATATATAATTATAGTTTAGATAGAAATTATCATTATTATATCCTTTATTATTCAGACCAGCATCTTCATCTTGACTATTATACTTCCAACATTTTAACCGTTGTCACCTCCGGTCTTTTTCAGGTGTTTATTTTCATACGCGACGACCTTGAAATTACATATCGAACCCTTTATTCAATCCATGGTGATAGATTGTTCGCATTCCGTTAATATAACGTATTGAGGTTGATATGTTCGAATATCAGTTAATATTCACCAGTCTTTTGTGTCACTTAGCCGTTTCTTCCACTAAACCAGAATATGTGACTTTTCAGTACTACCAGACCCAGCGATTGAACTCACAACCGCAATGGAACCCAATACGGTAATGGTAATATTAACCGTTTCCTTATTTCATTCGGAATTCATTGACTGAACAACAGCAAGTGCCGATGTCGGTTAAAATTCATAAAGTTTTTCTATTAAAACAATTTTTCAGGAAAATAGGTTTCTCAATATCATTCATTATATTATTGACCGGAATTTCCATCCCACCCTTTTGTTTAGAGTAGTGAGGAATATCAACATCATAAATTTTCTCTTCGAGATACATGTATTATCCATTTTAGTTGTTGCCGCTGTTGAAAGTCCCCAAGTGATATGGTTTCTGTTATTTCCTATAATTCTTTGTTTCTGATTCCGTAGAGCCTGTCTACGCGGTTCAAAGAAAGATGGTTCTGGTTCAGTGAAAGAAACGGACAAACGACACGATGGTAAATAAAAGTGTCCATGGACTTGTAGAATTTTTTTACCGATATTTGCTTTATGACTGAGTGTCTGAGATGAAGCGTTAATTTTTACATTGTTTACAATTGGACTAATGTCTGACAGTCATATGTGATGCAAGTTTAGGCAATCATGTATCTTTCGATACATGACTGACGAGGCAGATTTTTTGCCATTTCTTTTTGAAGTAGACTAGTTGCCATCCAAGTCTATACATACACTAAATACTTACATTTATACTAAATTTACTTACTTACCCATAGCTGGGGGATAAGAAGAAGATTCATACCTTTCCCAAGGGCATTAGCACGTAAGTGAATGTAATGGATTCGACAGGAATTCGAACTCGTCTCTCCGATTTCTCAACCCGAGCCGCTATCCATTATTCCACCGTGCCTCCTTTGACTGTACATCATGCAAATTACAAATAAATATATAATATTTGCTTGGTCGAAAGACTGGAACATTATGTTTGTTACTTTTGTTTATTTATTAACATTTCGGCCGATTCATTCTACAGTCTTCGACAAATGTGTAACCAGGGATAAAAATAAGTCTCTTTTCCATGATTTTCATGCGAAATTTCACTCAAAAACAAGTTTCGTGTACCACTTAAAATTGAGGGTTACAGACAAAATGGTAACGTTGAATGAGGTGGGTGATATGAATGTCAGACTGATTGTTTCGTTTTTTACGGTTTATCAACCTTTTGCAGATTATTTTTAGATTGTAAGGAATTTGTGTTTGTGTGTGTGTGTGTGTGATAATAATTTAGTCATACAAATCCTAATTAGCGCCCCAGGTAAGATGATAAACTACATCCGACAGTAAGGCC